AACAATGGTTCTTCTCTGAAAATCAAATGGATATCGGTGGACAGTAATATCTGCTGTAAACTAAACTATATTCATTGCTGCATCAGTTATTTGGCTTTATTTGGTTTCAATCAAACTGTTTATTAGTAGTTCTGTTTTTTTTTTTATTATTGTTTAAATTTTTTCTATACGTATTAATTTTTTTTTTTACAGATTACTATTTACTTTTCCTGTCGTCTACCTGTGTTCAATAGGTTTAAGCAGGGGTTATGTGCGTTTGTTTGGTTTTTGTTGTATGTTTATAGAATAGATTCGGTTATTTTCGGTCTAAGATAATTTGCAGTCAGCATAGTGTATTCAGTTCTACTGTACTATTTACTCAGATTTTTTCAAGCCCCGAATAGGAGGGTTAGGTTTAGGAAAGTGATAATTAGGCGGACAATTTTGTTCTTCTAATAATACATCAAAATCCTTGATACTGCAGTTTATAAATGGCGGCTATAGAAAATCGATGGTAATGGGTGATCTAATTTTTGTATTCTTTTTTTTTCCTCTCTCTCTGTGTCATCAAATAGTTTTACTGTCAAAAATTTAATTTATATAAAGCAAAGCTGAAAAAAAAAAAAAAGAAAATAAAACTGTACAATTTAAAGTTTAATTTTTACACTGCTACCGCTGTAACTGTTTGATGTGTTCAGTCAACATTTTCTCTTCTGAAGCATTCTTTATTTATTATTGAGTTGTCGATTTGAAAATTGTTCGGTTTCTTTTTTTTCCAGAACATTACCGAAAGAAAAAAAAAAAAAGGGGTAACAGAGGTTAGAAGCAGTAAATTCTGTCTTTTTTTTTTCTATGCATTCTACAAGAAATCAAACTTTTTGTTGTTATTATTATTATTATTATTATTATTATTATTATTATATATTATTATTATTATTATTATTATTATTATTATTATTTTTGGAACCAAGAAAAAAAAAAAAAAAGAAACGAGTTTTAATGAAATTTATAGTTAGTTGGAAGGAAAAAAAACAGAAAGAAAAAAAAAGTACAAAGAAATATCTGTAAAGTTTCTTTCTTTTTTTTTTTTTTTTTCATTCTAACCACCATTCCCCCCGCTTCTCCTCCTCTTCTTTACATTACAAAATATGCATCGTTTTTTTTTTTTTTCTTCTTCTTTTTCTTCTTTTTGAAAGGTTATAAATTTTAATTGGTATTTAAGAGTAAAGTGTAGAAATGATAAGTACATCAGCCTAAATGATTCCATACTAATAACCGGTCTAAGAAGGTATGTGTGTTGTTGTTGACTTCATTTACATTACGTCTTAACTTTGATTTTTGGCTTTTTCCTCAGTTTTATTTTATTATATCTTGCTTTCTTTTTTTCTTTTTTGTTGAATTTTTCAATATATATTTTAGCATAAATTTGACTTGTCAATTATTCACTAATTTTTTTTCATCATAATTTTTTAGAAAAGTCTTTTTTTTTTTATTGTTGTTGTTGTCGAATTTAAAGCTTGCGTACATCTCAAATGATATCATCTGCCTGTTTATATATGCTCTTCTTTTTTTTCTGGCGTCATATTCGATAAATCAATGTTGCTGATCACCGGACATCGCGATAATGACCAATAAAAAAGATCGTACCAGAAAAGTACATCCATCAGCTCCAATCTATTCTGAATCATCATCGCCATATCCCTCAACATCATTTTCACAATTTCCGCCGTCACAGTTCGTTGGTTCCAGTGTCCAGAAGCAATATCCGTTTGATGTCTATCATCCAGGAAATCCAGGCGTCTATTTACAACCTTCAGTAATAGCATCGGCACCACCAACATCATCATCGTTGTCGTCTTCACCATCATCATTATCGCAGCAGCAGCAGCAGCATTATCGTCATCCTGAACCATCAGTTCCAGAATGCTATTTTGGTCTTCCGCCTCCACCATATTCATATTCGTCTAGTCAATGTAGTAGCAGCGATACATATACGACAACAAACTGTGCTCCACCGTTACCAGAACGTGAACAAATTGTTATTGGTCGTCATGCAGCCAGATTTAATATTAAAAAAAATCATCTGCAGTCGACCAGATGTAAATCGCCAACCACCCATAAACGGTTCATAAATCCGATTGTATCGGGTAAACGAAACTGTACAGATATTTCCTGTTGTTTTTTATTTGTCATATTCATTGTTGGCTGGGCATTTGTCGCATATTTAGGTAAGCGTTTCAAGAACAATTTTTCGTTTTAATGGATTAAAAAATACTTTTTTTTTTAAAATGTTTTTAAACAAATTTCTAAAGTTTTTACCTATTTTTTCCTGCATTTAAATGTATCAGCGGGTTAACCCCAAAATCTGAAAATTCTACAAATGTTATCTTCACTACGGTGAAACAAAAAAAGCTTTTTTTTTTAGACTTTTTTGTTAGAATAATAATATATATACATTTTTATAATATAGTAGGTATTTTTTTTCATAGTATAATTATTTTGCTTTTTTTTTTTCTGTTTACATTAACAACAAATTTTTTTTTACTTCTAAATATTAGTTTTCCAAACAGTCAATAGTCGTTTTGTATTTTGAGAGAAAAAATCAGTCGCCGAAAAGAGGAAAAGAAAAAATAAATTTTAAACGTATCATTCAAATTTGCATACATCTACTGAAAAGTATAATGGGTAAAGAAAAGGAGACTTGTTGATAATGATCAGAATTAATTTGAATATTTAATTTTTTTTGTTTAAGGATAGAAATAAGAAATGCCTTTGAAAACAGAGATGTTTTTGCAGGTTTTCAATGGGGAAAACCGGAACGTTTACTGCATCCAACCGATTCGGCTGGCCGTATGTGCGGTGTCGAAAAAAAGGGTTTCTATGATTTACGGTTTGTAATTTGTGGCGAATAATTTGGAAAACAGTAGAGTAATGCTCAACAAGCTTCTTTTTTTTCCTCTCTATAAAGGTGTCTTTAATCATCAAAAAGTATTGAATTATTTTGGCTTGAACAAAAAACGGATAAGCAGTCTTCGAATAGCTGTTTAAAACGTCTTCACTTATATTCACATATTGAGATTCATTTTGTTGAGGTATTTACTTGTATAAAACTTTGACAACTTTAACTGACAATGGTAATACAAATTAATTTAAATTAATTTGCACACAGTTTGGTAAAAAAATAAAAAATTACAATTTAAATTTGCAGGTCAAAACCATATTTATTTTATTTTGATATTACTCGTTGTGCTTCCTATTCAACTGTACTTGGCGGTTGTCAAACACCACAGGTATATTTGTTCGTTTCAAACTGTAAAAATTTTCTTTTTTTTTTTTTTTATTTTGTTTTGGTTAACTTTTGAAAATCTGAAAACAAATTTCTTGAAATGATTTAGAAAAAAAAAAACATTTTTTTTTCTTCAAAGAAATATAAGCCATAAAACGTTTAATGCAGAAGACTGAAGAAAAAATGTGCATCAAAATCAATGTTTGCCAATTATGTTGTCAATAAAAAAAAAATGTTAATTGCCTTTACTGTATTTTTTATATATTTTAAAACTGCAATTGATACATTGAAAGAAAAAAAAAATTGTTTTTTTTTTCGGCATAATATAAGTTTTTTGAAAAAAAAAAATTATGGTCGTTTATTGAACTGTTAAATAAAAAATTAAAGAACTTTAATTGAATACATTAAGATTTATTTACAGATTTGTATTGAACGATGCCCATCTGTAACATACAGTTATCTACAGCTCCAAACAAAAACTGGTCAAGAATTTAAAAAATTATTGTCAACAAATGTGGTCTGTGATGAAAGTGTTAATAAATCAAATATTAACAATTTTAGTACCTTGAAAAAATTTGTGGACAATAGTACGTGCGCAAAATATATAGTTGCTTCTGCTGAAGGTAAGTGTTTTCATCATTTTCTCTTTTTTTTTTTTT